TTTTGGAGGTCAGAAGTCTGAATTCAGGGTGTCAGCAGGGCATGGTCCCTCTGAAGTCACTTGGGAGGGATCTGTTGCAGTCTTCGAGCTTCTGGCAGCCTTCGGGGTTCTTTGGCTTGTAGATGCATCACTACATCCTGAGTTCATCTTCACATCACCTGTCCTTTATGCATATCTGTCTCTGACAAAATTTCCCCTTTTAATAAGGACACCAGTCATATTGGTTTAGGGTTCACCTAAATGATCTCATTTTAACTTGAGTACCTCTGTAAAGATGCAAATAAGGTCACATCTGAGGTACTGGGTTAGGATTTCAACCTATTTTTTTTTTGTGGGGACACAAATGCCTACAGTTAAAAAGCAGTGACTGTATTTAGAAGTGCCATAGTCCTTACCACTTCATAGCTGTTCTTTGAATCTTGAGGCCAAGGTCACCACAATGTACTGTTCTATGTTCAGTCTTTGCTTTACAGCTGAGAGACCATGGTGGGGGCAAGAAATTTAGCTGAGTCTGGTCATACAGCCCTCTGTTTAAAACTCCAAACTGTCAGGGGGCTCAAGAAATGGGTGTGTCTTCATTTTTTTTGGCAGCTTGCAGCTGGTGTTGAAATTGACAGACACAGATGGAAGGAGTCTGGGTCCGAACCAACACTTTAGAGCTGATTACAGACTAGGAACTCCTAGTCTGTATGAATGCAAAAGTCAATAGTTGCCTCTCTTCCAGTTTGCTAAGGTCCCAGGCCTCCTTTTTCCCTTACACAAATCACTGACAAGCTTTGGGATTATGCTCCTTCCGTGATACCAGACTGCTCTGAGCCTGTTTCCTGTCTGTAAAATGCACCGAGAACCAAGTGGAGATGGTCTAGTTCAGTGGAGTTTTAAGTGCTCTCAGATGGGAATGAGGGGAGAACAGAGTACAATAGAAGGCAGAAACTTCTTCTGCTGACAGGACCTTTGCAGGCGCCATCTAAAGGAAGGTTTTCCTACTGAAAATTGGAAATTGTTGGAAAGATCTTCCCCCCCCCAAAATAGTATCACTCCAGAGAATCTCCACTTTTAACAGGTGCCCCAGTTGCAGGAAAGTTGGGCAATCATGAGACAAAATGATTGCTAATAGTCCCTTTAATCTTTAGCTTATTTCTCCAAAAACCAAGAGCCTCGGGGATAAGACAATGAATTCAAACTACAAGTGAATCAGAGTTTACTGAGTAGGGAGTGGCTAAGGCGTGGCACAAATAGATATATGCAACACTCCAACTGAACTGAATCTGAGATTCTTGAAAAACATCTGTTGCTTAGTCAAGTGGCCACTTCCATCTCCACTGTTGGGGAGGGTAGGAGGAGCGGCTTGTTAGGGGATATGAGGGAAAACGTCCTGTGGCAGGACCAGTGGTTACTCCTGGGGCTGGGAATGACGCTGCGAAGCTTTCAAGGCCAGGCTGTGCAGGCTTACGGTGGAGACTTACAGAGAGGGTGCAGCAGGACGCAGCAAGGTAGCCGCAATCGTGAAGCCCTGGGCAACGAAAGGTGCTCATCATGAGCTGGGAACGCTGGCTCTGACCCTGGTCAAAGCAGTAGAGGCCGTAGGTAGGGGCGGGAGCCGTGCTCAGGCAGCTTGAGGAGAGAACAAGGCAGGTCAGTCACCCGGAGGCCCACCCCACTGTGGGCCTTCCTTTCCCATGGTTAAGACTTTAACAATAGCTGGCGATGTTGGTGTGAGGCCGAGGTGTAGGTTGAGGCAGGGTTCGGGAGTTTAAAGCTGCATCATCCCAGGCCCTTAATCTCATCCCTTCTGCTCCAATAAGGTTCACTCATCGCCCGGGCCCCTCGCCACATCTTCAGTTCAGTGTCATTCAGGTCCCCCTGGCGTCCCCGTTCCTACTCTATTTCATTCTACGTGTCATCACTTCCTCTCGGTCTACAGTTCCTTACAGTACCTGCTTACCACCTATGGGTACCATTGGGTTCTTGCGAGTCTTGCGCAAGACATTTTCCTTGCCGGTTCCAGGAGTGCTGTAGACGCCGGTACTTTTTCCCTTCCAGAGCCTCTTGGACCAGCCCACGCCATCACACCTGAGTAACAGGGCATTCTGTTCCATTTGCCCTCCATCTCAGCTTTGTTCTGGCCTAGCTCAAGGCATCTGCAGAAGCAGACGGAAAACTGGACTCTTGAGGTCCGGCCTCAGGATGATGCAGCTGCAGAAAAAAATGACCGAATGGGTCACCTCCAGACAGAACACCGGGTCTTTCCTTGGCTTACGGGGTCTATCTCCAGCCATTTCTCTACGATCTTCCTTGCCTCCTCC